TTCCTGATCAGGCACTCCCAGTACCACCTGGATGGCCGGGCTGACAAGGACAGGACTCTCACCCCACTGGGTAGGTACCACCAGCAGCATCGTGCTTTGCATCTTGAGGAAATGATTTTTTACCTGATGAGTACAGGTCAGTAACTCAGCACTGTTGTGGGTCTTGCTGCCAAACCTCATTCTGTTTTCTGTATTCCTTTGTGGCAGAAAGATGTCATCAATAAGTTTGTTTTCTTCAGTTTTGATCAGATGTGATTTAGAAAGTTCTGAACACATTCAGTTGTAAAGAAACTTGTCAAAGGAAACTCCAAATTATCTTAAGGTTGCTTTAGCAAACTTTCGTGCCAGCTGAGGTAGTTCTTAAGGGCTGTGGCTTTAAACTTCATTGAAATGGATTTTTCTTGTGTTTCTTAATTTAATCTGCTGATTTATTAAAAAGAAAACGCCTCTGACTTCCAGCTGGAGTGTTTATAATTAAATACATTGTACTTTTGTCACTGTTTCTGGGAGTACTGCTAATCACTGACATGAAATGAGGATAACCTTTGTCTGTGTTAATCTTAACTCCCCGATCCTGTCACTAGGTCTCAGATGCTAATTAGCATTACTTTTAATAATGTACTTGAAAAGCAGTGAACACTTCCTTGATTATATATTTGCCAACACTGTTTTCAGAGGGGGAAGAATTATTACTGTGGACTTTTTTCCCACCCACATCTCAATTACTGGTGTGAAAACAGGAGTGAAATGCTAATTGCAGGCCTCAAGTGCAGTCTTAAACTGGTAACAAAGCACAATGTTAATCCTGTCTCATCCTGTGCTTTAAGTAAGTGACTTAACCTGTCTGTTGTCTTTTCACCTGGCTGCCTGAAAGGTGGGCTGAGCCTGCCTGAGGCTGCCCAGGTGCTGTGAGCTGTGCCAGGCTGGTGTTGCCTTTATCAACAACAGCACACTGCAGGCCTGAGGGGGATTGTTGCTTCCTGGGGATGGGGCTGGCAGGGATATTGAGTATTTCAGTGAAAGTACTGAGTTGCTGAGTAAGCTTTGGGGATTTTTTTCCTAATTGAAACAAATATTTTTTTTCATACTGATGCAAGTATGACTTGAAATTGTCCGACCAGTAAGCTTGGCCTTAGTAGTGGCTCTGATGAAAATGTTTTCCAGTTGCTTTTTGAAAGGAAAAAGCCCAGCATCAGTGTAGACCTTTTATATCAGCTGCACAGCTCTCTTGGTAGCTTGTGTGAGGTTCTAATGGGAGTGTCACCAATTTATGTAATGAATGTGCTTTGTAAGGTCGAGAGCAGGCTGAACTGACTGGACGCAGGCTGGCAAGCTTGGGATTAAAATTTGATCAGATTATCCACTCCTCCATGACCAGAGCAACTGAAACAACTGAAATTATAAGCAAACATCTCCCAGGTAAGAAACTTTCCCTAATTTTTCATTGACTTCTGATCCTTTAAAACTGCTTCCAGTAGAATTCCAAGCTTGTCCTTAAGGTTGAGATGTTATTTAGCCATTTCCCAGCCCTGTGTGAATGTCTGTATTTATAAAGAAACCTACAGATGTAATTCTGCTTGTTTCCAAATTATCTTTAAAAGTACAAATACACTTTTTTAAAGTGTAACAGACAGCCTGTTCTGTTCAGTTGGAATAAGCTGTCTTGCTGATGGCAAAAGTTTTGTTGGAGAGATTCATGTTGGAGAGTAAGCCTTCCTCAAAGAAAGACTGTGAAAAATGTATTGATTGTAGAGTTGTGGGGCTGTTTGTAGTGGCATGTGAACAACTTGTTTCTGAATGTGTATCTAATATTTCAGGAGTCAAAAAAATCAGTACTGATCTGCTGAGAGAGGGAGCACCTATAGAACCAGACCCTCCAGTCTCCCACTGGAAACCAGAAGCTGTGGTAAGCTTTTCTTTAAAGTTTTTTTTTATTTATGGTTTGGGGGTTTGGACAGTAGCAATAACTGGCAGTGTCTGAGCTGATGTTTTTATCACAGCCCTTAGATAACTGCATTCTTCCCTCCTGCTCAGTAAGTGTGCAGGGCAGTTAGAGTAACCTGCAGTCCTTGAGCGTTAGTTGGGCCCGCGGGTGCAGGCAGTGGCAGGGGCTGTGGAGCAGTGCGGGGCAGGCAGTGCTGCTGTGAGCTGTGTGCACCTGTGCCCCCAGCAGTATTACGAAGATGGCGCTCGCATCGAGGCCGCCTTCCGGAACTTCATCCATCGAGCTGACGCCAAGCAGGAGGAGGACAGCTACGAGATCTTCGTGTGCCACGCCAACGTCATCCGCTACATCGTCTGCAGGTACGGCTGCTGGGGGCTCATCCCACAGGGATGATCCACCACTGAGGGAGGAGATGCCTTGGTTTCACTTCTTTGAACTGTTGGAGATCAGTGCCTGCATTGTGAGCAGCTGCTGCTGCAACTTCATCAGGGTACATTTGTTAATTAGAACACTTTCATTCTAATTCTAAAGCAAAAATGGCTAAGTCGGTGAAACTTAGCCTTTTTTGTACATTTGGACAGTTACTTTAGTTACTACATGCTTCTGCTTCCATAAACCTGAGGGTAGTGCCTGTTGGAAAACATTACAAATAGATGCATTACTGGATGCATCTCTTTGAGGTGACATGAATTTGAGCTTACATAATTAAAGATTGATTCCATTTTGGGAATTCTTTACTCATGGATATTTTTGAGTTATGTTGAAGTTGCATTAGTATGTCTTTGCAGTACCATCCAGTATTGCATTAAAGGGAGAGGGAGAGTGGATCCTTCATAACATCAGGGTTGTTCATAATGGAGAAAACAGTTCTGGATCTTTGCCTGTCTCTGTATCCAGTCAGCTGAGTCTCTTTTATTCCCCTTCCCCATCAACAAAGCACTGTCTGTAAGATAATTTGTCGTGAGCAGGACAGATGTGATTAAACTTTAATCTGATCAATACCTACAACAGTTTCAGTTAGCTTTATTTAGCTGAGCTAGGTAAATGCTAGCCTGTCTGCTCTGTGGGCTATACTTTCAAAATTGCTATACTTGAAATTATTGATCACGTAAACAGGCTATTCTTTCCTGTGCTAAAAAATACCACATTTTTCCTGCCAGGGCTTTATCTCAAATACTTACATACCTTTTCTCTTTGCTGTTGCATTCCTCTTCATTTTAATGTCTCTTCTGTGCAGTGAATCTGGTAGTACAACTGAACACAATCCATGTAATATTTCCTTCAAATCTAGCTTGGTTGTAGCTGGTATTTAATTTTTCAAGCTTTCCACAAGAGTTTCATAAGAGCCAAAACAAAGTTATTCCTCAGTATCAGAGGCAAAAGCTGTTTGATGCAACATGGTGTTTTTTCCAGCTGTTTAATACAATTGATGGAGCTCCTGAGGCTGTTGAGTTAGGAAATTCAGAATGGCTGCAGACCAGCTGTGATGCTGTGTTTCTGTGGAAGGTACAATGTACTTGTCCTTCCTGGGGAATGATGTAGCTCATTGAAAGTAGTTCCAGTGAATTTCTTCCCTAGGTGTGTGCAGGACACTGGAGGGAATCCTGTGTCACTGCCTTTGCTGTGGGGTGTGGCTGCAATGCAGTGTGACAGTCACTGTTGGCCACATCCAGGTCCTCTCTGCTCAGGCAGCCCCTGGGTGCTGAGGCAGCGCTGTCCCACCTGCTCAGTGCTGTGGTGCTGCAGCCTGGCTGGGCCATCCCTGCCCCGCCTCAGGGGCTGCTCAGGGCACTCCTGGCAGCCTCCCTGTGTGGAGCTGCTGCCTTCTGTCCACTCGAACTAATCCTGTCAGCAGTAATCACACCCATCTGCTGGGCTCTGCTTAGCCAAGGGCACTCTTGGCCCTGCTCCAATTACCAATGCTGTAGTTTTACAGCATTTCCACAAGAAAAGGCTTTTTTCCAAGGCTGACTGGGGGCATTGGTACAAGCTGCACTATGCCCACCAATTTTGAGTTTCCCCCTCCTTCTCCCCCTTATCTGGGACAGAAGGGGATGCTGTGAGGGCTTGTTAATCCAGCTGTTGATGAATTACTGATGTGTGTGTTCTGTCCCCAGAGCCCTGCAGTTCCCCCCAGAGGGTTGGCTGCGACTGTCCCTCAACAACGGCAGCATCACGCACTTGGTGATCCGTCCCAACGGCAGAGTGGCCCTTCGAACGCTGGGTGACACGGGTTTCATGCCTCCAGACAAAATCACACGCACCTGAGTGAGCCAAATGGCTGGAAGGCTGTCCAGGAGCTGCCTCTAGTCTCTTTGCACTAGCACATCCTGCTACAGTACCACTAGATTTTTATTACGTTGGGGTGTGATGCTGTCTTAAAATGTCCTTTAGCCCCATTCCTCCTTCATATCCATATCTGCCTTTCAGTCCGGAAAAGAAGAAACCTTTGTAAGCCTGAACATGTCCAGTCCTTAAGTATTCCCCAAAACTCGAAGCTGAGCTGTGAAATACAGGTTGAATGTCTGCTCAGCAGTTGCAAGAGCACTGACTTTTCCCTCACCCCGCTGTGAATTTCTCTAACCAAAGCTTGCTCCTGTGGGTGTTTTTCTTGTGCAGGAAAGCGACTGGTGTGTGAACAGCCTTGTATCACACTGCAGCTAAAACAAAGGTGAGCCAGCTTGCTCCAGCTCCTGCAGAAGTGACAAACAGGGAATTCTGCTGTCCAAAGGACAAAGGGATAAAGCTTCAGTTTTTGTAAGCTGTTGAGTGTGTATGTTGATGTTGTGTCATTGTTCCCCTCTGCCCCCAAAAGCCCATGTAAACTGTGCCTGGAGGTTATGAGCATGAAGGAAAGAGGGGAAAAAAAATTTGCCTCAGAGCTGTGGTGCTAGAACTAACTGCTGCTTATATTAAGTGTTCCACCATCCTCAGGATGTCCTTTAAGATGTTCTTAAGAATATTTTTCAGTCTTGTAAAGCCTTTAACTAAAACATGGTCTGGAGAAGGCTGTAGCAGTAAGATGGGAGGAAAGGAAAGCAGCAGTCTTCTCAAAGTGCTTTCAGTTACTGATATATTTTTGAGTGCTCTTTCCCACTGTTTGATACCTTACTTTCAGAGTAGAGCAATACCACCAGTGAGTTCAGGGTAGTGGTGCTGTTGCCAGCATGGTGAGCAGTGGCCAGGGGGTGGCTGTCTAGGGCCAGTGTATAGGACAGGCATTGGGCAGAAGGCTCCAAGGGCCCCTTCAGACAGCTCTGATGCTGCTGGGCCTGTGGGAGGGGAGGGCTCAGAAGCGTTCTGGAGCTTGCTGGCTACCCTGAGCCCATGCAGAAGCCTGGCTCAGTTAACAGTAGGACAGCAGATGTAACTAACTTGTTTGACAGATTCTCTGATCAATAAGGATGTTGATGAAATGCTGAACTTACTCCTGTCAGAGCTGTATGAAGCATAATCACACAGCCTATGGAGAAGAGGATTTAAGGGCTTGATATGAATGCTGCTACATCAGGATCAGTTCAAGGAGTAGGGTAGGGAACAGACATTATTGTGTAGTGTAAGGTGTGGGGGGCAAGAGGAAACCATCATGATGTATCTCTCATTGATGCAATGAGAATAATTTATCAGTTTTTGTCTATTAACTTTTTTAAAGTTTTGAATAAAATACTTGGTCTGTCTGTCTTTCCTGTCTCTTCAGCTGAATGGCTGCATGGGCAGCGGTAGCAGGTGTGGCGGGAGCTCTGCAGGGGCTGCTGGTGCAGGACCTGGTGTGGCCCACACTGCTCAGGGCAACAGCTCTTTCACCAACCACCTGAAATGTAAACTGGAGGTGGGAGCCAGAGCAGTTAATTGTCATCAGCCACAGAGGTGCCCAAGAGGGGAACTGCTGTGGCCTAAGCACAGCCCTTTGCAGGACTGTGTCACCACCACGGGGAACCAGCAGCTGTAAGATGAAAATTCTGTGATTTTTAGTGTTGGGTGGGTGCACATGTACTCTCACACACACATCCCCTGTGTCAGTGAATGAGCTCTTGGTGGGCAACCAGAGGACACAACACCTCTTTGCACAGGTACAGAAATTAACCATAGTTTTGGTGACACTTAAGGTGGGGACGGAAAGTGTGAAATTTAAAATTATGCCTTTTTTACCATAGGCTGAGTTCTTCAACACTGTCAGACTCTGAAGTCGTTGCTGGTGTAGTCCATTGTCACTGCACACACACACAAAAGCTGCAGGTACTGGACAAGCAAGGCCTGGACAAACCAGTGAGTTGCCCTGCCATGCCCAGCTCCTCCTCCCCACATCCCATATTCAACACAGCCATTCATTTCAGCTATTTATTTGATTTTAATAGAAAGTGGGATACTTCTGTATTTTTAACATGACACTTTGCTAATTAAAAAACAACCAACAAAAACACAGCTATTTTGCACCTTTAAAAGTGAACTTTTGGCCAAGAAAACACAATTCAAGCACTATCACTGATTTAAAGTGTCTCCACAGGCTCAGTGTTGAAGGGCTTTCTTCACAAAATCACAAATGATCAAATTGCTGCATAAGTTGCTATTTCTGTCATAGCTGAAGTAACACATTGTTAGAAAAATGACCTTTTAAGTACAACTGGACTAATGCACATTATATAACACAGTTAAAAAAATACTCTCCTGACTGAACCAAAACAACATTACAAAGTGAAAGGCAAGGATGTGCTGGGTGTGTGGGGGGTGTCTGGCTACATGTACATACCAGTAACATACATTTAAACATTAAAAAAATAAAGCAAAGCATAAAAGTAAAAAGGACAACGAACTAGAGTGTTAGTATCAGTCTCCTGGCTCAGTAACAAACTCTTAGCAAAGGGCAATGCTGCTGCACCACAGCTGGGAAGGAGCAGGGTGGAGAACAGCAGCTGCCCCCACAGCAACTTCCCCCAGCACTTTGGCTCTAACATGGTATTAGGCAGTTACATCAGCTGATCAATTTCTCCAGAATGATAAAGATCTAATTTACAATAAATTATTGAAAAAACCAACCACCCAGAAAAAAAAAAACAAACCCAAAACGCCAATCTCAATCCTTTTGGAGTAAATCTCTATGTATGTGGGATATTAAAATATTTTGAGACCATGAAGCCTGCTACATAAAAATAAAAAATTAAAAAAACGACCCAACAAAAAACCCTTATGAAATAAATCAGGTAACATACTTATTACAGAAGGTTATGATTTTGATTCTGGGCTTTTTAAAACATGTTTCCTAAAGTAAGACACCCCCCAGGCCCCTGGTACTTGTCTGGAATATGACTGAATGAGAGGCATTTATGTAAAGTAGCTCTTCCTAATGTCCAGCTCCATAGAACTAGGTTCAATTTTAACAAAAGCGTAAAATATGCCTTTTTTTTTTTATTTTTTAAATAATTTCTAAAAGAGGAGTCTCTCCCCCATGGAGAGCTATCGCACCAAATAATCCAACTTAGAGACATTAAAAGACATCCTGTTCAGAAAGCCCAGAGAAAAACTGTATTTTATCTGCCCATAGTAAGTGGATGCCACTTTTTAAAAAAAACTTCCAAAAGAACAAAAAATTTAATTAAAAAAATATATTACAAAAGGCACTACTGAGCTTGCAAAAGCATTAAGTGCAGTGTTTAGGTTTGTAGCAATCACGAAGCTGTGAGGGTGCACAGTTTGTGT